TGCCCAGGCTGGCGGCTGGGAAACCTCCCAGGTGCTGGGCAGCTCCAGAGCTGCAGCATGCTGGAGGATAAGCTCGCTTGTCTAGTCTCTTGGACCTCGTTACCCAAAGTCCATAGGAGTTCTGATCTGGGCCACGTGCACCTTTCCCTCTGGGCCTCAGTTCCCCAGCTATCAAGAGGGGATGACAGCATCAGTTAAGCTCCCTGGGGTACTGGGGTTTTTTTCAGATAAAAAAACAACCCAACAACTTATGACTAAACACCAGTGAGCACCCCTAAACACCAAATCAACTGATTTTGTACTTAGTACAGTCTCAAAAATGGCTGTTAAGTACGACTCAGAACTGCACAGTGGCTAAGAAGTGAAAACACTGAATATCCACCCGATCACTGAAACACCCATTCATGTTACTGTAAAAAAAGATTGTGACATGTCATTAAGAACTACGCTGTAACGCATAAAGGCTCCAAGAACACCTTTAATACCTCTTATTTTTCAACTATACAACCACGCCGTTTTTTAAAACATTTTTAGTGTAACATATGACATTAGTGTTGATCATACAAATTACACAATGGACTGTATATGTTGTTACTTATTTTAAAGATTGTTTTAAGCAAGTGGAAGGCTAACTGTCAGATTAGGGTTATCATATTTTCCAGCACATTTATGTTTAAACTGTATGAAGGCAGTGCAAAAGATCAAATAGACCAAAGAACAGTGGCACAGTGTGATCAAAAACATCTACTGCAGGACTCAACCAGGTATTCAGAATACTGCAAAACCATTTCTCTGAAAGAGACTGCCTTTAAGAAAATTCAGAAAGAATTTACTTTGACAAGTCTCTGAATATAGGCTACTTCATATTACATATTACCTGCAATTCCTTATGGGTTCTCTGTACTCTGACCCAATACGGTTCAACAAGAGCAGGATGGTTCATTGCAGTGTGATAACACATCTGTGTTGTCAGTGCTAAAAGCTACACCACAGAAATTTTTGTGGGATGGAGGAGACTAAAGGTTTGGACAGCTTTGTGGAAAAAGCTTATCCTTTTAGTACTCTTCCCCCACCCCACCCCCGCCCCTTCCTTAAGGAGGAATGTTAGAAGGCACGGCTCAGTTGCTTACCCTCACTTTTGGACAGAGGTAGAATTGACAATTTGGAGGTGCAAACTGAAGTTCATTTCCCCTACCACAGATCCTTGACACTGACTGACTAAAAATATGTTCCTCAATCTCATAATCCAACAATTTTTTTTTCAGTTCCTTCTGAAGATGCTTAACCCTATTAAAATTTAAAACAGATGATATAAACAGGTATTAACAAGGCAAGATTTTATGGCAAAGCAAAATCCACAGAGCTTGGAATAAAGTGATCAGCTGATCCATTCCATAAACAAGCCTCCAGACAGGCTTTTCCATGGATGCCTAGAGATTATTACACTTACACTTTATAGCTAACAACACACTACAAGATGTTAGAAATAAAATCCAAGATGTAAGTTACTTTCCTGAATGCTCTAAGAGATGCACAAAGTCATTTCTCTTTGATGGCATTCCAGCACATAATTTAGTTTCACTTTTATTCAGTGGCAATAAATATTTATTTATTGTAGTGATAAGAAGAATTTAAATTAAATGACACCTGACAGAAAAAAAAAACTTGCATCATTAATGAGTGTTCCGTTCCACTTCCATTACAAGGTTTTGGGGGTTTTCTTTCTTTCCCCTCTCTGTTCCTCTCCTGTCTATTTTTCTTACTTGGGATTTACCCATCTTTTGTCTCTGCTGTCTGTGATTTTGCAAGTGGACCCATTTCTTCCATTTTTAAAAGCAAATCTGTTACCTTTACACATCAGTACTGTACCCCCAAGGTCAGGCTGATACCACCATTTTCAGTCCTGATACAAAACTGATCATGGAAATAACATCACCAAAATAAGACAGATGAGTTTTACACTAAGTGCCTTTTAGGCCATAAGAGAAAAACGGCTGCAGAAACAGCAATGTTATCACTTGTTTATTTTGATTATTTATAAATTACATATCCAGAAATCTGGGCTCATTTACAGAATTTATTAGAACATAACAAATTGCATCCCAAGTCCAAATCAAAAAAGAAAAAACCCTCCAAATGGTGGTTACCCTACCACCCACTCAACCAGCCTTCGCAGCCCAGAAGAATGCAAATTACAGTAGTATTTGTTAAACTCCACGTAAAAAAAAGAAAAAAAAAAAAAGATGAAAAGAAGAGTTTTACAACCAAGCAGCTCTTCCTGAAGGCCTCTTGGTTCAAGCCCCTCCAACCTGATGCAGAGAACTAGCACTTCAACTTTTGGCTGACCCGAAGTGCTGTGGCACAGAGGTAAATGCTGGGCTATTCAGGAGCAACACTTGTTACGGATTCAAAGAACACCACCCTTAATGGCTTTTGTAAGTTAATTAGATAACTGTATTGATCGGTGCACAGACATACAGTGAACCTCTCCTTAGCGAGCAAGCACTTATGTTCTCACTGAAGATTTTTTGACTGTCCTAATTTCAGAGACAATAAAAAGATGGCACTGTAAGTAGAAACACATGCAGAGGAATAGGTCATAACACTCTGGCTAAAAAAAAAGATGAAAATGAATGAAAATTTGTGCCTGCAAATCCCAAAACAGCAGCTAATACAGTAAATTTCCTGAGCTACAAAATAACAGTAAATTCAGGTACAGGCATCAGTATCATTGCCACCAACTCCTCAGTCCTTCATGCACTTTATCAGTCCACTTTGAGTAATTTTACGTTGTGTACAGATCAAGTGGCAGACAACTGGCTCTCATCCAAGACCTGAGCGAAGCAGATACACTAAGTCTCTAAAGCCATACTATTCAAGCTGTGATTGAATGAAAACAAAAAACAAGCTCAGAAAGGCTCTGCACTGCCCAAAACGGCTTCATAATCATCACTTTTTTTTTTTTTTTTAAACCAAAGCAAAGCAGAGACTTAGCATTTAGAGGAATCTATGCTCAGAGTTGGGGTTTTTTAGCCCAGTTGTTTGCCTCCTCTGAGATGTTCAGGTGTAGGTTGTGGGTTAGATCAGAGGAAAAAGCATCAGATCAAGTTAAAAGTTCAGCCTGGAGAAGAGAAGGCTGCGGGGAGACCTGATTGCAGCCTTTCAGTACCTAAAGGGGGCCTATAGGAAAGATGGGGAAAAGCTTTTTAGTAGGGCCAGCTGTGACAGGACAAGGGGTAATGGCTTTAAACTAAAACAGGGTAGGTTTAGACTGGATATAAGGAAGAAATTCTTTACAGTGAGGGTGGTGAAACACTGGAATGAGTTGCCCAGAGAGGTGGTGGAGGCCCCATCCCTGCAAACATTCCAGGCCAGGTTGGATGGGGCTCTGAGCAACCTGATCTGGTTAGGGGTGTCCCTGCTCACTGCAGGGGGGTTGGACTAGATGACCTCTAGGGGTCCCTTCCCACCCAAAGCATTCTATGATTCTGTGATTCTAAATCAGAAAGGGATCTCCTTTTAGAGAGAGATCATTTGCTCTGCCAAAAAAAGAGGAGACCAGAGGCTTAGAAAAACGGAGAGGAGAGCCCAACAAAGAAATGCTGGCAGTTTCTAAACTCACAGGGGATTTGTAGGAGAGCATCATGCCAAAGGCTCCAAGAAACCTAAAGGTTCCACAATGAATCTACAAACTACCTCAAAAAGTATACGGGAACTCTCCAGACAAGCAAAAAAAAAAAACCAAAACAAACCTATTTTGTTTCAATAATGTGAAAGAAGAAGAAAAAAAAACTGATACGGGAATTGAGAACCTCTGAGGAATATATACATAATCTGGCAAAAAGAACAGGGAAGAAGGTCTAGCCTGGAGTTTTCTTTACTTGTTTTCACCAATAAAACACAGAAGAGTTC